GGGCGCGGTGCTGTCACCGCCGAGGCCTGGGTTTGATTCGGTCAGGGACACTCCCCGGGCAGATGGAGCTCGTTAGCCCTGTAAAGGCAACCCATCTACGTCCTGAGGACCTCGCTGCCACCGTCCAAGCTCGCTTGGCCCTGGCAGATGAACCTTAGGATTAAAGGGTGGGCTCAGTTCCGCGCACACTGTGTCTCACCTAAAAAATCCAATGCGCAGGCTGGAAGGTGTAAAGACCTTCCCCGGATCTTCGCTCGCGAAGACTGGCCATTATTATTATTATATTATTATGCCAACCTAAGAAGTTTTCCAGAATGCTAAGCAGATCATGAGCGGTGTGTCTGATAACATGTCCATGAACAATGTGTTCACAGATTCTTCTCTGGTCTTCAACAAAATATAGGTCAAGCAGCACTATCAGAATCTGACACTATTCTTGTTAAAGCCGTATTTCCATGCAGTATTGAGTTCAGTTAGAGCTAACTCAGGCAGGATAGGTGAACGTGGTAAATCGTGAAATCAGAAAAAAGGAGGGATGAAATTAATCCCAAGAGACCATCCTCCAATCCACGTCTGCACCGAGGCAGGATAAGAAATCTTGGACTAATCCTGGGAGCCATCAGTGTAATACACTGGTAATTATTCCAGTGAAAGAAATTCCACAATATGTTTATGTACAATATTTTAATGTTTCAGTACCCTTCCTGTTACAAAGAATTTTTATCACATAAAGCAAGAATTTTTGATAAATACTTATCAGATTCCTTTTTGTTTTCTTTCTAAACAGACACAGCGAAGTTGCTCAACACCCTCTACTTCAAAAATACATAGATTTTATGTCTGTATGATGTATGGAAATACACTTCCACATTAAAGCTAAGCCAGTCTGAATGTCAGCTGCTGCCAAAATGAACCACCCTATATTTTTCCCCATTTTTCCCCATCCCTCATGAGATTGTGATGAAACAGATCAGAGGATATAGTGGAGAAGCATTCAAATAAATAATAAAATTAGGTTTCTGCTGATTTAGTTCATTGGACCAAGCCCTAGGGAGAGCATCAGACAAGCACCAGTGGTTGGACTGGCTTAGCTGTGACGTGAAATGGAATAACTTCTCTTTTCTAGGGTAAATAAACCTCCTTGCACCTCTTTCACTGGCCTTGCTTTCTAAGTCTGTTACTGCTATTGTTCTCAGGATTCCCTGAATCCTCTCTAGTTTTTCTGTATCTTTTTCGTACATGTTTCTGCATCCAAAGAATGTTTAAAATGTGTGATTCAGTCATGATTGAACACTCCCTCAGAAGAGCAAAGAAGATTAGTTGTTGCTCACATGCTCTTCTGCCTCTTTTTCCATGCCTAATTTGTGTGTGCCATTTCTGTGGCTTTGCCTACCTGTGTAATAATTGCGCTTACAAGGTTAATGTATAAACACAAGTGTGTCACCCTGTACTGAGCTTTCTCAGTTTAAGGAAGATCATCCCAAGCTGCAACCCTTCCCTACGTGGTCACTGCTCATGTGGCCATATCATCATGTTTAATTTTAACTTAAGACATCATCTAAATTCCAGAAGAACCTCAGGCAAGAGTTTCTTTAGGTGGAGAAGACAACTTCCCTTGAGTTTGCTTTAGTTTTGTCCTGTATATACACTGACCTACTTTGAGAGTAGGCACATGACAGATTCTCAGTCAGTCTTTCATGTAATTGGAACTCTTTGGGGGTTAATGGCTTCATGCAAGTATAATTTCATGGCACTGTAAAGGAATAAGATGTTAAGATTTCCTGTATTCTGTCTTTTATATATTTATAAATAATTTATATTTCCCAGTATGGATTAAGTCCTGATTTGTATTCATATATTTCTCTCCACACATGATCTAGAGTCTTGAAGCATTTGTTTTTTGCTTTTAAAGCCATCACCACCTGAAACCATGTAGTCAACTGAAAATTTAAGTTTTTACTATAATAGTTTCTCACTCTTATCATTGTAAAAATGTGGAAAATGGAAAGCCCGAGGATACAGAAACAGCGAAGTTAAAGCAATAGAAGTCCCAAATATATGCAGTCTTTTAAATCCCATAAGCTGTTAACAAGTGTGACGTTGGAGTCTGTGCTAGGGTGGCTGCTATGGATGAAACCCATGCTTTAGAGAAGGGGGCACCAATGATGGCTCTATCACTGACCTCTATCCCACCACAGACCGCAGTAACCTGTGCACTGCTCTGTGTAACCAGATCCCATCTGAGATGAGACAGCTTGTTCAAAAACATTCAGAACTGCCTGATCCAAAAGGAAGGATTGCTGGGCTTTCCTGTTCTTCCTGTGAAAGCTCTCATGTGGGTCTCAGAGCACAGGAACAAGAGAAGCCTATGGGCAGGCTCTGGATACTCAGAGATAATGTGGATGATGAGGACCTTTGGGCCAGGTAATTGTGGCATAAAGACATGGAGGAAGGAATCCCACTGACCTTTGTATGCTGCCTACCCTCTTGTGAGAACCTAGTGAGCTTTTGAAGCCCATCTTTCCATGTCCTTACAGAAATTTCTCAGGGACTGACTGCACTTAGGCCACAAGCAGAATCTCCAATTCAGCTTCCTCCCTCAATATTGCAGTTTTTCTCTTGAATGTGCCGGCAGCTCCAGGTCCTCTGCCAGAAGCACCCATCCTAATGGAGATTATTCAGACTGATGACTTGTGGGAGAGGAGGAAAAAGGAGGGCTCACTGTTTTACAAGTGCCACTCACACAAAGGCCAGCCCCATCATGACCTCATTCCAGCATGCACCACACACAGCGTGACCAAAGATCACCATTTTCCAGCATCAGTGTGGCATTCATACTTAGGAAATAAACTGGAGTGGACTTTTTTTGTAAAGTTCTGGGAAGTTGGCATCCTGCACTCTTTTCAGGCGAGATGTTCTCCTAGCTGACCTGTGAGAAAACAAGAAGAAGGAAGGGTGGCCATAGACCTACCAGTATTAGTCTCTTGGAGTCAGTGAGCAAGCTCACCCCACGTCTGACTCTATCTGGAAGCAGCATCACATTAAATCATACTGCATTCCATACAATAGCTACTTTCCTCCCTTCCTTAGCCATGGTTTCTTTCCCACCTTTTCCGTGAACATAGGGAGAGTATGCAGAGGTTTGACTACAAGCCCTTTCTCCTTCTTCCATGCCCTTGAATATTTCCCCTTTGTTGACATAAAGTCTCAGGGAAGGCTCTAGCCCATATTCTCCTGGGACACAGGAGTGAAAGCTAAGTTTGGATGCATGATGCAAAATTGCAGATTTTGGAGCAGCTACCTTAACAGGTGCCAGCTAGCAAAGGTATGTGTACCTATAGAAAAGACTGGGGGTACTGTCGATGTGTGAGAACAATGTGATCCTAGGAAGGAATTATGTACTTAGGATTGTTGGTTTGATTTGGGGTTTTTCTTCTCAGCCGCATCTTAAGAGCAGCCATCAACCTGCTCCAGATGTGCCAAACAGCTGGGCACAGCCCCCGTGGGTATTTTGAGTTGCTCTCTACTTGCAGAGGACCAGGAAGAAGCAAGCCAAAAGCTGCCAGCAAGGAAAATAAGGGCAGACAAAAATCCATGTAATCCTGGCTCACGGAGACATGCTGAGCAGCCTGTATTGGTACCTGCCAAGGGCCAGCATGCACCAAGTGATCAGAAAACACAAGAGGAATATGGCACAGGGTATGGACCTTACTGCAATGCCAAGCTTGGTACTGATTTAGGCTCCACTACAGAGGCTCTCTGGAACAGCTGGTTACTCCTCTGTCAAACAGCTCTGTATTGCCCTGCACTCCAGTGTACCAGCTCAGCTCCTTCTAAAACACTGAACAGCTGGAGCAGCTGCCTTTTATTTCATGGAGGTAAGTTAGGGAGAGGGGCCTCTCCTGTCCCAGCCTGCTGCTGCTGAGGGAGGCATGGAAGTTAGCACTAGTTCTCCCTTCCCAGGCAGAAGGGATTTCTTAGCTTCTCAGCAACACAGAAAAACTCAGTGTTGCTGGAAAGCATGTTTCTGGGGTGTGGGAAAAGGAGACCTGTTGCTATCCACCTTCACTAATTGGTTTTGACTGGAGGAGCTTCCCAAATTTGCATGGAGTAGAAGAGCATAGGGAAATATGCCTGGCCCTTGTTATCACAGGAAGAAATGGGGCAACACAGGGCTGGCCTTGTCTGAGAAGTGTGGGGGAGTGTCCTGTTGCCAAGGGTAGTAAGGCGAGATATCAGGAAGCTGTGGGGAAAATCTACTCAGCATCAGCCACCCTGTTTCCCCTTAGGAGCCCTTCCTTTGGCAGCAGCAGCTGCAGGGGAATGCAGAAGCACAAAGCAGAGACGGGTGGATCAGGCTGAAAACCACACAGCTTTATTTTTTCTCTCACAGGCAACACAGGCAGCAAACAGCCTCCGAAAAGTTGCCGTGCAAGGACGCTGCCCCTTTTTTTCTTACACAGTGAAACAGCATTGCATTGGCCCTACTCTGTGCATCGCTGGTTGCATGGTAACTTACACCCCACTGAAGTCAGGATGTGCCATAACGTTTCAGCACTCTTTCATGTGAGATTCATTTAATCAGTTGTGGGGAAAAAATGTCTTTGGACTCCCCCACTCCTGCTTGAGCTAAACAAAATACCATACCCAATCAAGGAAAGAACAAAGGAAAATAAATCCCTGAAGAAAACATAGGCTTCAAAACAAAATTCAAAACTGCCCAGTTTGATAAAAAATGGAAATAGCCAGAAGGCAGAAATGGAGAAATCTTCTAATTGTGGAGAGGAGAAATAAGATGGTTTATTTCCTTATTATACAAACCCCAAGGTCATAGTGCTGGCATTGTACCATCCAAATCAGTTACCAAAGTCAGGAAGATCAGCTGTGTAAGTTGATAGTGCCACTAACACCATCTATTCTCACTGAATATGACCTTTTTAAAAAAATAATGCAAGACTCAAACATCATATTATTTTCCTTACAGCTAACTCTACTGTTCCTGCAACATCCAAGGCCACACAAGGAGGGACTACTGCAGGGAGAGAAAAGGTAAATAAAATACTGTCCACTGCATCTGGAAATAGGTTTAATTTTTAGGTGAATTGTTTTAAACCCTGCTGATACTGAAGAGTCATCATTATTATCATTTTGTGAAAGTAGTTATTTTTCTTGATTTGTAATTCTTCCTGCATCTGGCTGAATCTACTATGCTGAAGATGAGTAATCATAGGGAAAAATAGTGTCATTATAAATTCTAAAGCACAAAATTCTTCAAATGCTACTTATGTAAAAAGGACCAATTTAAATCAAATCATTAGCTTCTGCTTAGATGTTCAATTAGAAGTGTAATAATATAAATGTTTTATGTATTCTCAGCTCTTGCCTTCAAATTTAACCTTTCTTCCATTTTTGCTGTTATTTCTCCCATTTATAAATGTTGGTGTAATTAAGCCCATTTTCTCTTTAGAGGTGAATATACAATCACAGTTAAAAATTCCTCAGTATGTTTTACAGCCTGAAACTTGTAATACTCAATCTCACAGCTAATAACTACCATGACATGTTTTATAATTGCTCTGTAAATCAGAGACTGCTGCATTTAAAGTGTAATTTTAGGTTGTTTTGCAATATTCCTTGGCACTTTTGAAATATATCAGGATGGAAAATGCATGATCTAGCTAGGTACAACCACAGATGAAGGAAAACAGTCTTCTCCAGTTGCCGGAGTGCTCCAAAAGAGATGCTCAAGAGCAGCAACACGTGTGTCCCTGATGGATACCCAGGCTGCCTCAGGGACCTCAATGAGGCTCCTTGTCTTGAGCAGGTGTTGCTGACCAGCAGTTAAGAGAAGGGGAAAAAAATCAACCCATGGCATGAGCTTGCAGAATAAGCAATCCATTAGCAACAAGTACTCTGTGGCTTTTCTAACAGGATTTATTTTTTAAATCATTCCACAGTGGTTATGACTGGGACAGACTAAGCTAAGAGCAGCTGAGCAAATGTTTGCAGGGAAATCTGGAGGAACGATTCTGCTAACTCACACAGCATCTCCCAGTACCTGTCTCAAGTCTTCTGCAGTTGCTGACAGGTAAATTATGGGCTCCAACAAAATTAGGTGATTCTTTTTCTCCCAATGCCTGTTTTTCTTTCAAGAATGTTGCTTTATTATTCATTCTAGTTTTACTATATATGCTTTGGGTGTTATTTTAGCCCTTCCTGTGCATACAAAAGTTTGTAATGGAGTCTTTGAAAATTTCTAGGGGTTCCAAATCCTGGAGTAATAGTTTGGATGCAGAGAGGCTCTTTTATCCCTTAGTTAATGGTTAAGCTTGTTGTCTACTGCGCCTTGATACTGTATCTCCCCACTGGACCACCCCTGCAGCTTTGCTGGGACCCATTACAACCTGATACCTGGGCTTGCTCTGAAATCATCAGGAGGATGATTTTTCTGGGTGCCTTTCCATGTACGATGCAGCAGCCCAGCACAGTGACTAATGCCTCATCTGCACCACTGGAGTTCCACTGATAATTTAATTAAAATTTCCACATCCCTCACATGTGCTCTCACTGATTTCTTTTCCACTAATCAAACTCTGAATTTATGCTCATCAAGTTTTATCATCTCCCCAAATAGCACAAGTCTTGTGATGACATCTGGTTGCATTTTGGCCACATAATATAGACATCATGGCTCTCCTTGAACAAAAGAGCAATGTGTGCTACAGGCTGCCACAAGCTGCCAAAAACATAACCAAGGAGAAGTTTATGCACACACAGAAAACCTGTGTGATCTCCCACACCCACTGCTATTATTCATACTGGAAGTCATGCCAAATAGAAACCTTACAGCCACCTGCTACTAGTCGAGGTAACCTTGTTTCTTTAGAAAATAGAGTAGGAAGCTAGAGTGCGATGAATAAAATCTTTGGGAACTTGTCTGTGAGGCATGCCAGGGAGGAGTGGTGGTACCCCTGGGTGCAGAGGTGGTTTACTGGTTACTGAGGCTGGCTGTGTCACCTTCCTCTGCACCACCTCCTCCTCCTGAGCCGTGAACCTGAGGCAGCCTACCATGGTGTAGCCCCTTCCACTGTCAGTATCTGAGTGCTGACACCAGCAAAACAGGTAAAGGCTTTAGTGTTGGTGAGAGCTAAAATTCGCACTGGGTCAACAGGAATTTCATGGAACTGAGATGTCTTCCTACTTTGTTACAGAAAAGGCCTCTTCACACTACTCCATAAACGGTGTTGAAACTGCAATAATCATTCAGCAACATGATCTTTGGCTTCAAACATTCTTTTGCTACTAGTGGAGCAGCTTGAACCATGTTCATAGTATATCCCAGTTACACCTGGTACCTCTGTCTTACAGATCATTTAAGCAGACAGGCATCTACATTATAAGTTTAAATGAACACTGAGGTCTTGCCTTTGGGAATAGCACTGCTAATTTAGTAAGGCAAGAAGGGCAGTGTAATGCGGACCTGGTGCATTGACTTGTAGCAACCTTTACCAGAATATGGGAGGGCACTTTCAAGATTTGCTGTGGGGAAATTGAAAAAAGGAAACAAGGGTGATGTTAACTTCTCAGAGATTGCACTGCCATTGCCACTAGTTATGCAAGGCGGTGAATAGGAGAACTTCTATAGGCTAGAAATTTCTAGAATGATACATTTCATAGTTCAATCATTGATTATTACATTTGCTGTGTGTTATTGCTGTCTGGTTCAATAACTGTTGTTGGGATGAACATAGGAAGGGAGGCCTGAGGGAAAAAAAGGCACAGGAGACTATAAAAATAGTGGTCCAGAATTACAGGATCACAAGATTTATGGCTGTAGGGCTGGTAACAGGTTTAAATCAAGCCACCTATTCCAGACCATTTGCTAAGATTCTCACATTTTTACTGTACTTAAAATATCCCAGTAGAGAGAAAAGGAGCAGGTCCTGCAGTTAAAAGTTGTTTCCAGACCCCCAGCAACAGCAGAATCTCTGTAAACAGAGAATAATTGGCACCTGCCTCCTGTTTTCTCATCTTAGCACAGGCCATGAACAAAGTTACTTCTTAAAAGCTGGCATAGAGAAAAGGAAGCCTGGACTCTGTATTTTGTCATAACTTCTTGTATTTATTTAGAACAAAAGGAGCATAAGGCTAGGGCCAAAATTGCTTTCAATTGCAAACATACAGCCTGCAGGTGTGGGCAGAGTTTAGCCTAAAATAACTGGAGGTAAAAGAAGGAAAAAAGCAGTTTGAAAATGTGATGTCAGCAGGCGAAAATAGACTCTGTGGGGCACTGGTTTTCTGAAGTCTTGTTCTGTAATCAACACAGCTCATTACTGTAGATGTGCACGATGTTGCAAATGGCATTTGGATGAACGTATTTTGTCTTTTCACCATGCTCACTAGTTATCAAATTGTCTGCCCAAATTGCTGAACCATGAGTATTGTGTCAAAGAAGAGGAAAGCAGCAGATTTCCCTTGTCAGGGTGGACAGCTTGTACCAAAATCTCAGTCACTGAGTTTCAACCTTCTTCTGTTTAGACCCCTAGGAATTCTCCTGTGGAGGTACAGGACTTTGTATAGATGCCTCTTCCACCTGCAGTGATAATCGCATTGCTTTCTTTTCCCTCACAGTCTACAGTGCACACCTGACTCCGAAATCTGCAGGCTGCAGTTTGGAAATTGGTCTCCCAAGAAATTATGTGCATTTACAGTTTCACTTCATCCTTTTTTTAACCAAAAGTCAGTTTTTCTAATATCTCAGTTCAGTCCTTAAATAGCATTACTATTGCTATGCATGGGCAATCCATCCTTCAATCAAGGAGGAAGTGACCACATATCTGAGATCAGTGCAGATCACACATCACATTGCAAGGCATATCACAAGCTCTGACTCCCCTCTGAATTCACTTTGGAGTCTCATCATGAGATTAAAGGTAGCTGGACCTCTGTCTCAGCTGAGGAGGAGGAAGAAATGAGAAACAGAACGGGATTATAAATTATATCCTAAAGGTAAAGGAAAAAGATGACTGAAAGAGGACTGACTTTAGGGTCTTAATATTTTTTAGTGGTCAAACACTGGCACAGGTTGCTCTGAGAGGCTGTGGAGTCTCTGTCCTCAGAGAAATTCAAAACCCAACTGGACACAGAGCTAGACAGTCTGCTCTGGGGGGCATTGTTAGAGCAGTCAGGTTGGACAAGATGATCTCTGGGGATCCCTTCCAACTGCAGCCAGTTTGTGATTCTATGGTTCTGGAATTTAAATGTTTACTTCCATTTTTCCTGGAGGGAAGAATGAGCTGAAAGCACAAAGTGAAAGTTAACAAAACCTTTCCCTTTATCACTCCAGCAGCATTGACTTCTATTAGCCTTTGAACCATTGCCAACCTTGTCAATGTAAGCATTCCCATTATGTGGGCTGGATTTTATCAGCACCAAAGGTAAATTTTCAGCACATCCAGGCTACCTCTGAGGTTTTCCTCAGTGTGGAAATACATGGGGCAAGGAAGAAGAACTGATTTGCATTCTGGCTCTCCTTCCCCGTGGGGTCAGGATTTGGCCAAAGCACACATTTCACCCAGGAGCTAGGAAAAGTGCTGGGATGTTTTATGTAGATGCAAGTTATGCATGCATGAGTGAGGAAACTGTGGCATATTCATAGAGAAATGTGTATGGGAATAGGTTTAGTAGCCATGCTGAACAGCTGCTCATATTTAAAAGAAAGTCAGGACAAGGGTTTAAATAACCTGCACTTAATGCAGGTTATCCTGTACAAAATTCTATATGTATTTGTAGGGTTGAGTTTTAGGCATCTGGGCCTCAGGCTCTTTGGCTATATTCATGAACTGACTCATCACTTCTTCTATCTAACTCTATCTTATCTATTTTAGGCACTCCATTAGCCAGTGCAATTTTCAGCATCAGGTTAAGCACCTGAAGGTAACAACCAAAAGCAAAACTGGGTAAAAGCATAGGCAAAATAGGCAAATGTCTGGGTTAGCAATTTCTGGAGAATAATTGATCCCCTCTCCTCTCTTTTTACCTGTCTGTGGCCTCCCAAAATTTCACAGCATACTGCCTGCCCTATTCCTCTTTCCCTCTGCTTGTGCTGCTAGATTTGACTTTGCATTTCCAAGGGAATGAAATTCAGTCATGCCTGACAGCTGACAGTCAGTGAGCTAGATCTGGAGACAGGCTGGACCAGCTCAGAAAGGAGTCTGCTCAGCATCAGTGCCGGTGTCATGGAGGGTTTCCAGGGACGGGTGAGGGGAAGGGACGCAGCCTCAACCAGGACCTTGCAGTAGGGGTTAGAACCACTCAAAACAATGCTTAACTTCACGTGTAGACCCATGGTGTTCTCTACCTGGAAGCACTCAGGAGTTATATAAGTCTTTATAAAATTATTTGAAGCTATTCTGAGAAAAGGGACGAGGTTCCTAAGTGTAAGTTTTAGGCAGCACTTAAGCATGGGAGTACAAGGTTGCAAGCCTGAGAAGACTTGATACTTAGTTGCATAATCCAGGTTCTTCCCACACTTCAGACAGACATTACTTAGTTACTTCAGAATTATTCTGTGGCCTCTAGTTATACTCCTCTGGGGGTCCGCTCCATCCCTGATAGGATGGGCAGAGATTTCTCATTCACAACCTATCGCTAACACATTCATGCTGTTAAAACACTACTAAGTGCCAAGAGCTGCCTTAATCCAAATTATGGTCTGAAATTCTTAAGGCATACATTTCCCATTCTGAATTGTATGTATTATAGAGACATAGCAAAAGAAGAAAAAACAAACAAACTAACAACAGGTTTTTTAAGCTAAAAGAGCCTCTGCCATCCTGTAGACTAGTACTGGACTGATTGCTTTCCCAACCAGTAGAGTTATCCATGGATTATTTTAGTTCCACATACCTCTCCATGCTACCAAATGTAAGACACTTGAATTAATATATCAGTTTCTACCTGATAGTGAAGTATTGCATATATCAATTTACATAACATAGGAACGTGACTGGGTAAGTCCTACCCCACAAGTCCCAGCGGTTTATGCTACAATTAGTCAGAGGAAAGTTGAAAGTGAAGAAAAAAAAAATTCCAGGCAGAGGAGGAAACGGACAAGACAAGTTGAGCAAGAAGAAAGGCCTAATATTTCTTCCCCCACCCCATACAGACACATATAAATAGTGAGAAAGTGAGTTCCCCTGCTCACTGATCGCAACTTATTTGCTGGGTCTCTCTGGGATTTGCACCACCCCTACAAGATGTGGGCAAAGGTACTGTCTTGTTTCTTTGCACTGTAAGATGCACTTCTCTGTTTAAGCTTTTGTATCCTCACTCTCTGTGTTTCACTAGGTGTACATCACAGTACAGGATATGTGTTCACTGCTTTAAACTGCTTGTAACTGCTTCCTCAAGAAAATCTCAGTGCTTTAGTACAAGGCTAAAGGGAGAACTTGCGTGTATTAAAGGGTAAAGTTCTGGTCACCACTGCTAGAAAAAAAGGAATCCAATGCGAAACAACGCAATGAAAAGATACGAGCATAGTAGGGTTGAATTTGTATTATAAAGGAGAGACAGCTGTTTGGTTTGTTTAACTTAGCAAAATGAAGGTCAGAAGGAAATACCATAACTCTGTGTGGATATGTGCAGGGGAGTAAAGGAAGGGGAAGGATGAGGGGAAATGGAAGGAGACAATTTCCAAAGACAGAGAAGATGTATATTAGGTAATGACAGTATAAAAAAGAAATTGTGTGTATAGACTGGTTGTAAATAATGTATATCTCTACAGGGGGACATTTCTAATGGTTCAAGAGGAAAGTTCTAGATGAGTTTCTAATATAGATACTAACAGTAGCTCACAGCTCTGGCCAAGATGCAGCCTGAATTTGCCTAATAGGTCAATGCTCAATAGGAGAGGAAAATAAATATATATAAATCCCAGATCAGCATGATCCAGGAACAAGGAGCTACTGCTTTTCAAAGAGGCAAGATCTTGCCTTGGAGAAAAGCTGGGACTCCAGCTGAGAGTGAATTCAATGCGAGCTGGAAGCTATGAGCAAGATGTGCAAGATAGGGCTGCCAAGTCCTGCCTCACACTGAGCTCCAAGCTCGGCAAGATTTGGGATAGTAATGCTGCTAATCAGGGAGATGAAATCTTGCCTTCTTATGTGGTAGTGGTTGCACTGGCTTGAAATGCCATTTTTCCACTGATTTCAGTAGCAATAAGAAGGTGCTATGGAAAGACAGATTTCTATTTGTTTTATATGTGTGTGCGTGAATAGTCATTAGAGATAGACAGAGATAATCTTTCAGAGTTTTAGCACCTTCAGTACATATTCTCAAGGATTCAAGTCAATGAGAAAGCAGAAGAAATACAGAACAGAAAGGGATGATGATGAAAGTATAAATAAAGTATAAATAACACAGTGGCATTTCTGGGAATAAAAAGGGGAAGAATTCAAACCTTAGTAATGCTGATGCAATTCACATAAGCAGGGGCAGGACAACAAAAATGGCCAGCATGCTAAACAGTAGCCCAAAACTGAAAGCAAAAAAAGAGGAAAGAAAAAAAAAACCACAACATAGTTTCCTTAAAATATAGATAAATATCTACTTCTTCTTTTTCTTTATTTTTTTCCCTTCCTAGACAATTACGGGAAATTTTGCCAGTGTGATTCATGGTTTGAATGCAAATCATTTGACAGACCAAGTAATTGAGAGAAGCAAACGAATGATTCTGGATACTCTTGGAGTGGGGCTTCTGGGTACCAGCACTGAGGTCTGCCACAAAGTGACCACGGTACAGTAAGGTAAAGTGTCTGGCATTTATAGCACACTCTAAGGTTTATCTTTAAGACAAGCAAGGGAAAACTTGGGTTATAAAAGGGAAATTTTGCCACAGTGAAATTCTTTTGTGGATGGAAAGAGACATATGGTGTTCTTTCCACTGGAGACAGGGAAACTTCAATGCTCAAGTACTTTTCACTCTGGATGGGCAACAGTTTGTGTATCAGTCTGTATCCTAAGATCCCCCTCTGCAGACACAGTGAATTAAGAATCCATTCCTTTCTTTCACCTATGAGATTTTATTAAAAGCATCTCCAAAGTAAACACTACTTATCACCAGCCTTTCAAATTAAGGGACAGTTAAAGGGATGGAGAATTAGTAGTGGGTTACTTCCAGTCCATAAAACGTAATTGTTGTCTAAGGTACATTAGCCATGTTTCTCCTCTAGTCTTTCTCTCTTTAAACTAGAGGATTACTTGATCCTGAAGAAAAGCTCTTCCAGTACAGGAGTGCATTAATGAGGAGGAATTTAGCCCACTATTTTATCGTTCAGACCTGCCTAGTTGACTCATGCTCCAGAGCTCTGTGTGCTGGTAGGTCTCTTCCCACAGAGAACACCCCTTTCCAAACCATGGTAGTTTATGTCCTTTGATTCATTTTGCAGCACCAGGAGGCCATCTGTCGTTTACTCAGGGTCTCACTAAAACACAGAAAACCGAAACCTTTAACTGCACATCTTGTCCGACAAGATGATGACAGTCCTGTCATTTAGGTTGGACTCGATGATCTCAGAGGTCTTTTCCAACCTAATTGATTCTGTGATTCTGAGGGAACTGTCGATGGCTGGTGAGAAGAGATATCAATGGCCAGAGGTTTTGTGAAGGTACTGAGTGGCCAAGTGGATGCTGTTGGTCTGCCCCCTGAGCTCTGTTTGAGTGGAATAGGACATAAGCCAACAGTAAACTGAGTTTCTTGTCATACCTTCTGAAAGAACAGAATTTTTCACATCAAAGGGAACAGTTAGGTCCCAAGAGGATATGGTCTGGTCTCGGTTACATCAGAGATACAGCACACTTTTATCTTTAGGTTCAGGACTTTGAATTAACTGATGTCAATTTGTTTCAGATCTACAGCTCAGATTTATCCAGTACCATCTGGGGCCACTTGGATTTCCGACTGCCTCCTCTGTATGCAGCTTTTGTGAATGGAGTGGCTGTAAGGGATGCTCTTTTATTTGCTCTTAAATCACACTAATTGATGTCATTCTTGCTCAAGATAGAACAGAATGTTCCAAAAATCTTATTCAGAAGCCTGCTACAAAACTTTCCTAGACAGTTCTAATGTGCTTCAACTTCCTTCCAATGAGACTGAACTTAAGCTGTAACATATATCTGATCCAACTCAACAGCATACTGTACCTTTAATATGGGACCTGGGACTGTTTTCAAAGGTCAGAACTCTACAGCTTGTTACAATCTTGCTACAGCTGCTTAGAAAGAGACACTCTAGATGTCACTGATTTCACTAGGATCCAAATTCCATGCCAACTGGCAAAGTGTACCTGCAGAAAAACATAGGCAGATGCACATGTAGATACGCACACATACAACATCACAAGGCAATTTAATCTTCAGTTACCCAGTTTGCAAAAGCCAGTTATATATTTTGGACACATACTTTGTCATTAAAGCAATAACTGACTCCCCAGACATTTTTCTAAATTCAGATTGAGGCTGAAACCATTTGAAATTGAAAGATGCATAAGAGGTGGGGTAGACAAATTTGGCAATTATGCAAAACTAGAGAAGGTGGCCGACCAAGGAAATGGTACTATTAAACCTATTTAAATTAGTGTAACAACAAAATCAGAGGTCCAATTTAAAAGCTCATTTCCAATGTAGAGAAAATTAAATTGGAAATGAGATCTGGTACCTCTCAGCTCATAGCAGCCCTTGTGATATTCAAATCTGGCCGTCAGCAGGTACATGATCATTTCCGTTTACATCTCGGTCACAGGTCAATTATAAGCACTTATTGAGGACACCAGAAATACAGCTTACTGGGTACTGGACTCAACTTTCCTTATGCTGCACTTCAGGGCAGCTTCCCAGATGGCATCAAAGTTTTTTGAGGCAGAGACTGGGTTTTCTTTTATCTGTTCAGAAACACAGTCCTCATAAGTGCATATTCCCAGTATTACAAGGCAAAACCTGAGCACTGGGGAGCCTGAGCACCTTCCTAGTTTGCTCTGAAGTAACACATGGGTGAATAGATGCGAACGTCATTTTTTGGTGTATTATTGTGCTATTAAAAATGCTGTCCCTAATGCTCTTAGGCCCTTGAGGATTCTCAGAACTTTGTGGGGGAGGGAACATGTCTGATAAGCAGTACATTACAAACACTCACTGCACTGCACTGCTACCTGAAGCCGTCTGCTACCAAAACAGCAGCCATATGCCATGCTCAGAATGCCCAACATGTCCATGAGCAACTGGGCTCTGGGCAGAGTTAAGAGAAGCACCACTTTGGATACTTTCTACCCCTAAGCAGCTCATCCCAGTACTACGACTGTAGCTTTCTCCTACTCTCAGCAATTCAAGGGAATCTGGTTCTTTATGTGACAAGTCTTGTTTGGATGTGCTGAAAGTTCAGGCTAAAGCCTCCTGCACATTTGCAGGCTTGTGGATAGTTGCACTGGAGAAGTAGTTCTGATAATAAAACTTTCATTGAGCAGTATGGGTTTGACTGCTACAGCTGTATGGTGTGAGTCCTAATGGCAGCATCAGATGCAGCACTGGGGAAGTAATTTCATTATGTTTATATTTCCTTATGTTTTGGGTGAAGTGCAAATTCAGCGTTCACATGGTGGACCTAGAACTGCTACTTTAATTATACAAGTCTAATTAAAGCAGCAAAAACCAATTGCGGGAAAAAGGAATCATTGTCATACAGGTTTTAGTGTGGTGCAACTTGAATTAGAGTTATACTCGTTTGAGGCACGATTTTTATTGCATTACCACTTCTCAGGGAGCCATGTTGGGAGTAAAGGTCTTCAAGCATTTTGAAGGTTTGCTTTCTAAGGAAAATCTAGTTATTTGGTGCTTTTTTATACCAGTTACAGTAGTTCCATTTGACTGAGCCAACCTTGCCAAGTCAGAGTTTATTTCTAATGACAAAACAATGCTTCTCTTTCCATTAGGTGCACTCTATGGATTTTGACGACACCTGGCATCCAGCCACACACCCATCCGGGGCTGTGCTCCCTGCCGTCATTGCGCTCTCAGAGGCTTTTCCTTGGAAGAAAAAAATCTCAGGTCTTGACCTGCTCTTAGCTTTCAATGTGGGAATCGAAGTGCAAGGTCGGCTGCTGCGCTTCTCCAGCGAAGCCAGGAATATTCCAAAAAGGTACATAGAAACGTTTCCAGTAGGAAGTTGAGCAGAAGGTTTTTTTCTCAATGTTAATATACTTAATTACATGTCAGTTAAAATACAGATGGCACAGTTATTCATATTTTCTATGCTGCTTGTCTGGAAATTTAGGAAGGGGTCATCTTAAGTGTAAATACACTTACTTGACTCCTTAGGCTTTAGTTAATAGATTCCTTTTTGAAAGCATTGACCAATTCACAAGAAGGAGAAAAAAGAGCAGCACAAGGGCAACATTTAACATTAGAAATCTCAGGCGTTCATGAATACATACAATCATGCCTCACTTGCAAACAGCAGCTTGCTCTCAGCAGAAAGGAGTCACCAGTGCTGGGCTCAGAGCAGAGCCCAAGGAAATGCGATGTGCTTAGGGGAAAGCCTTGAAGTGTGGGATGGCCTAGTTGTCTTCTTGCTATTTTCTGTGTGTTCTTTCTATCAGTTTTGCAAAACTAGTTCAGAATAACAAAACTCGCCTCCCCTGATATGTGTAATTTAGAGATGACTATGAATTATTATAGATTTATAATAATATATTAATTTAAATTAGTATAATAAATATCATATTAAATGCAAATTTATATGTGACTGTAAATTTATTTAGAGTCATTTATAGATGACTATAAACCGTGATGCTTTTCTCATTATTCTGTTCAGTATGATTTGAACCATGAACAGTTCTAACATTTCAATTGTTTTCTGGGGAGGACCTATTGCAAGTGGTACTATTCCAGTTTAACTTGTTCCTGGGGAAAAGTGACAACTCTTTCCGTTAGGTCTGCACATGAATTCTGAATGTGTGTTTCAGTATGGTCCAATCTGTCTTCCACAGCTGTGAACAGAAAGCTTGTGTATACAGTGAATTCAGGTTAATTTTTGAAACACGGTAATGAAGATATTTTTGTTTTCTCAGGTTTCACCCACCAACCGTGGTTGGTACAATGGGGAGTGCAGCAGCTTGTGCTAAACTGCTAGCTCTTGACCAGCTGGGATGTAAAAATACCTTGGCCATTGCTGCCTCCTATGCAGGCGCCCCGCTGGCTAATGCAGCAACCCAAACAAAGCCCCTCCACGTTGGCAATGCTGCCAAGCATGGACTGGAAGCAGCTTGCTTGGCTTCACAGGGCCTTCAAGGAAACAAACAGATCTTGGACATGGAGTCGGGGATAGGTGCCTTTTATACAGATTATAATCCACAGACCCTGCCAACCTTGCAGTCCTACCCCTGGCTGTTGGACCAGCAAGATGTGGCCATCAAACGCTTTCCTGCTCATCTTGGAACGCACTGGGTGGCTGACGCAGCATCTTCTGTTAGGAAGAAGCTTGTGGAGAGCAGTGGCAACTTGCTCCCTCTTGATAAAATTGAGAAAGTAATTCTCAAAGTCCCTGAGGTCAAATATGTGAACAGACCCAGCCCAGCCTCAGAACATGAAGCACGACATTCCTTCCAGTTTGTTGCATGCTCTGCTTTGCTGGATGGCAGCATGTCAGTCCAGTCCTTCACCAGTGAGAATATTCACCGGCCAGCCTTGCAGGAGCTCCTCCGCAAAACTGAGCTGGAGCACCCTCCTGATAACACA